TCTTTCTTTAAGTCCCCAAATGGTCACTGTGACATATCGGCACCGTATATGCAAGTCATGATTATTCAATGAAATTTAGTTTATATTAGTTACTGATTCCAGAAGATCACAGTCACAGTCGTTTTTTTTAATCCACAAGAAAATAAAACACAAAATGYTGAGCATCTGCTCATGTTTCAATGCAAATATCTTCTAGGAGTTATATTTGGATTAATTTTCCTTCACATCCCTACCACATTTAGCAARTGATTTTCCATGGCAGACTTCCTTGCTTCMCGTTGAAATGACTGTTCAAGTTCTTGCTGYAGKACTTCAAGTGTTTCTTGTTGTTGTTTGACTTCTTCTTCCAGAAGACTGACTCTGTTACATTTCACATTGTACTCCTGAGTTGTAACATGTTATTTTAATAGGTTGAACTTGCTAACAATTTCCTATACTTGGGAAATTGATTGTAAACAAATGTTCAAACAAATTCGTGCATTTTAAAAAGAAAGAAGAACTGAATGTTTAGATCGAAGCACTGATAGAACAAATGGCTGAGTGGCCAATGAAATGACTGACTGACCAAACATTATGAGTCAAATGATTGACTGGCCAACCAAATGACTGACTGGCCAAACAATGACTGACTGGCCAACCAAATGACTGACTGGCCAACCAAATGACTGACTGGCCAACCAAATGCCAAATGACTGATGGAAGAACAGATAAACAAGATAGTTATGTACGAACAAATATTTCCAGCCTTTTTTAAACACAGTCTTCCACAGATTGCCATTGCTTTATAGTTTGAGGAAAACATCGTTTGCAAATTCAGCTCATCTATTAAAGAAATCTATAAGAAAACTGTTACATATTTACCATGTGAAGTTTTTCAAATTCTTGTCGTAACTTATCTTTGCTTGATTTTACAGTCACAAGTTGTTTATTCATCTCAGAAGAGGCTGATTGTAATGACGTGTTTTCAATAGCAATGCTCTGCTTATCCTGCAAGTAAAATTAATGTCAAATTTTGATATTATTTTATATTGCAACTTTGATGCCTGTTTTCAATTATAGCAATTTTGTCATGTGACGATGTAATGCAATTATTGCTCAGCAATTTCACAGTGATTTCACATAGAAAGTTGAAATGAAAAAAATTCAAGATGCACGTTTTGCATGGAGCATGCATTTGCTGCAATAGACCTGTGAGCTTTGCTTTGCATTTGCAGGCTGCATGTTTACACACACCATTTGCGACAAAATCTCTGCAAGAAATCACAGCTTGTGTTGCGCAACAAGTTTTCTAGAAGTGTAAACTCTAAGGACTTATAAGTTACAAATCATGGACTGTCTCTAACCTGCAATGCTAGTGCCGTTTCACCTCTTGCCTTCTGTACTTCCATTTGCATTCTTCTATTTTCAGCCATTATTTCACTTACTTGTTGYTTTGCCATTTCACACTCTTTCAGCATCCTAGTGTTGTCCTGAAAAACACCAATGTATATTATACTCTCAAATGTAATTTATCAACCAGCTGCTGTGTAAAAAAGATACATTTATATTAACACTGTAACATTTAACAACTTGCCGATTCTTTGAACATTTTAATTAAAATTCTTTGTCTGATAATGAAGGAGTAACGTCCAAAACTTCAGTAAGTTTATTTCACCTATTTTTTTACGGTGTCAAATTTATCTTTTTGCACAACTGTTTCTTTAGAAACACCAATGCAGCTCACACTAGTTTACTGCTAGTTTTMACCACATTTCAAAACAATGTTTGGATAACAATACTCTATTTTGCACTGTTCTTTCCAGTACATGTACCTTCTTGAAATGTAGCTAGCCAATTGTTTGCATCAAAGCAAGACAAGGGTTTGAGCTTGCAGTGAATACAGTAATTATGTATTGTCTTAGATTGTACATTAAAGATATCTATCATTGCTAGCTCATCAACGGATGTCAAAGTGTGCACAAGATGGACAAGGTGTTACCTGCTGAAGATTGTTGTTGTAGGCTTCCAAAGCATTCAATTTCAGATCACTCTGAAGAAAATCCCCTTCTCTCTTCTTACACTCAATCAATAGTGCATTGTGGGACACACTGAGTTCCTTAAAATCTTGATCAAGTTTGTTGATTCTACAATATGGAATTATGAAACAGAAAGGTCATAATATATACTGTAAGTAATTTCGAAATATAACATTTAATGATACATGTCAATCAGTTAACCACTCAGACACTTTGCTGTGTACATCAAACAGTTATTCATTGACAAGCAATAATTGGTATCTAAGTAAATAAGTTAAAACATGCGCTTTTCTTCCTAGGTCAAACTGTTAGCCAGGCACTTTGCTGTCTAGATAAACCAGACACTTCGCCTCTAAGTCTAACAGTAAACCAGACACTTTGCTGTCTACGGTAAGGCAGTCACCTGTCCAGACAAGTCATCTTAGTATGTCAGTTAGGTACCAGACAAGGTTGCTTTCTAAGTCAGAGAGTAACTTTGCCGTCTAAGTCAATCAGCTGGCCAGATAATGTCTGTCAGACTTAGTCTATTCACGAAATTATTCTTGAAGCATTCTGTATTTACATTAGGCATTCCATATCATGTACAGCTGGTCTTATAGTCAATTACTTCTTCTCCATTACATATGGGTGTAATGGATTGGGATGGCTTTCAGCTTTGTTTTATTTACAACCTTGCCTGTTTTTCAGTGACCAACCTGCACTATTATTGTGGTCTACAGTATGAGTTAATTAAACATAGTTTAAAGTATTTTTTAAAGTATAACAAATTATTGGTTTAAACTTGAGACAGAAATTACCTTTCAAGTAATGCCTCTCTYTTCTTTGTGTTTTCTGATTTCATTTTGTCCATATTCTGGTTTTCTAGCTTTAATGTTGTAATTTCTTGTAAACTAACCTGTTTGAATTCATTTTAGAATTGATTTAAATCAAATATCATATACTAGATAAAGACAACTGAAGGATGATGTTTCTTTTATTGGAGAGACTCAGACATAACATACAAGAATGTAAACATAAAATAACAACAACATAGCATTCCCTCCTCCTCTTTTGGGAGAGACAGGAAGCCCAGGGGCAGGTCCAGGGGAGGTGCTTTGAGTGCGAATGCACCCCCGTTTTCGGACTACATAATTGTTTTATATATCAGCATAAACCTTTTTTTCTGTTGTTTATGTTCCTGTTGTACCTTTATCGAGAAAACGAGTAGCATACACAAAATGTTTCTGCCACTATTCTGCTTAACAATCTATTTGAGTAGTATCAATAAGATAAGTTGCAATAAAAGTCTTTTTTTTCTGTTAAAATTGTGCATAATTTTCTTGCTCTAGACAATATGCCACTAACAAAAATGATCAGTTCCTTATAGCTATATTTACTGACAAAAGCACCCCCCCTCCCCTTATAAAATGCTGGATCTKCCCCTGAAGCCGATGTAAATTATCGTCTCAGTGAAATATAATTAATATATAGCATTGAAGGGATTAATAAATGGTTTCACCCAAAGAAATGACTGCTCTCCAACATAGTTGGCATCATAGCTCAGTTGGTAAAGCACTGCACCTGAAAAGTTTTTTGGTTGGCGATACATTTAATAATACATGTAATAACTTAGCTTATCATATATTTCACTGTGACAATTGTTATTCCTTACACAATGATTTATGCAAATTACCTCTTGGTTAAGCTCCAACATTTCCTGGTGTCTGTGGAGAGCTATGATTTCATTTTCTGATTTTGCAAGGGCATGCTTTTGATGCTACAGATTTGAATAATAAGATAATGTCAGATAGGAAGAAATCAAGCTGTTTCTTTTCTATATTTTCTCTACAATTTCAACTTTGTCAATCTATTTCACAATCTCAAAGAGTGTTTTTATGTGCACTYATTGTGCAATTTCCATCATCTGTAAGAAAAAAGTTGTGCACGGTCTTAACTGTTTTTAAAAAACTCAAAATACATAGATGTACAAAAGAAGTACAACAAAAGGTTTAATTTTAATTTTAATTTAATTTGATTTTAATTTATTAGCTTTGCCCCTAGTATGGGCAGGGACACCGCAACAGCTTGAGCCAATTACAGTGGACCCATTACTCTCACACTCACTACCTCTACTTTAAGTATTTTAGCAGACAACACTCCTCACATGCTGATTTTTACTGAGGGAGGAAAACCGGAGTACCCGGAGAAAAACCATCGTGGCAAGGGAGAGAACAACACATCAAACAAACTCAAACTCACATATGGTCCGTGCCCGGGAATCGAACCCAGACCACAGCGGTGAGAGGTCAGCAGCTTAACCACTAGGCCACCCGTGCCACCCAAATGGTTTCCAAATGGTTTTCCAAATGGTTTCCAAACCATTCCTGTCTTAATCATGTCAAAACATTAYTTAAATATGAGATTTCTTACCTCTATTATCTTATAAGCTTCTTTAATCTTTTCAAGCAAGATCTCTGTATCATCAAAATGATATCTTGGAGTTCTCATGACATAACTATACCCATTGCTACCAGACTGCAATGCGTTGGTCAAATGATTTTGATGTAATTTCAAAGTCTCACTATGTTGCATTTCTTGTTTGGGTAGAAAATGAGAACTTTCAGTCCAACGGCATTCTGATTTGTCAAATTCTTGATTTATTTTGATAGGTATATTGGATGTGTTATAGATCTCACCATCGAAAGGTTTTGTTATACATGCATTTCTCTGACCTTGCACTAGCCCATGTGCTCCATTTACCGTAGTTTCAGTTTTCATATGATCAAAGTTCTTAAACTCATTAGGCTGCTGAAAATTGCCATGCATACCAGAGACAGTGCTCAACTGGTCAAAATTTCTAGGTCCATTTAGTGAATATGGTTTGCCGTACATAACCGAATCTGTATTCTTGTTCCTAGATGTACCTAAATGAGATAGATCTAATGTYCTTGACATGTCTGATTCAGTGTCTAACTTAGTCTCTGCTACAGCTCTTGCATGTTGAGAATACGGTGGAATGAAAGTAGAGTTTAATTGAGCTGGTTTGAGTTGATGTAGGGTTGTGGAGTARGAAGCTGTTTGTGGAAGGTTGAGAGCCTTTTGGAGGGCATGGAGCTCCTGCTCTTTTTGAAATATGCTTGTCATTCCAACCTAAAAATTATATATAAACAAGTGAATGATCAACTTGAATATTTGTCGGAAACAACAGTGAGAGACTCTGCTAGCAGGGAAATTTTTGGTAAACCAGCCAAACTGAAATTTTGACCAGACAATTTTTATTGATCTGCTCTATTTTTTATCCTCTAAACAAAGTGGTAAAGAAATTAGGATAATAAAATAAAAACTATGCGCCATTCACTGCTCTAATCTCCATCTTTGTTTAAACATGAAAATWGTTCCTCACAACCACACTCCCAAGTTCACTAGTAGTCCATTCCAATATTTCCTACAAAAACTACCCCACCGGCAAAAATAAAACTTTACGTGAGTATTTGTGATATTCTGTGATTCTTACCTCAGATCCTTTAGTGCTGCACGATAAATCAATTATGCTTGGCCTAGTTGAGTGGATTAGACCACGTATCGCCTCTTCATGGCCGATTGTTTGTGGCTTCCAGCTGGTCATAACAATTGAGTTTACTTTTTACCAAAGATCAGCTTAGCTGGGAGCTTATCATTACTTACAATCATTGCATTTTTTTCTTAATTCGCTTCGCACATTTACGAAGAGTTTAGTTTCCTTTAAAAAGAAATAAAGATATTTTTTCCACGGACAACTCTACCATCGTCATCTTTTCTGCCACGAGTCCAAGAGCCACAAAGTTAGCAAAATTCTGAATAAAGTCAACTGATTTGCTATGCATGCCTATCTTTGTTTACTTTTCATTTCCCTGGTGTATCCATAGTAGCTCTTCAATCTTTGGTTTTTCTTGAGAAAACAGAACAAAAATCTGTCCAAAGTTGGCAAACACTCTCGCGCCAAAACAAACTGAGCAGTGCGCCCGCGATAATTTTCTCTTCGGGGGTAGGGTAGGGCTAATCAGTGTTACATTTACAGAAACCGGAGTTTGGAAGACAGCAAAAACAGAGAATGTCGAAAAGAAATAAGAAATAAGAATGTCGAAAAGATAATGTCAGATGGGAAGAAAACAAGATGTTTCTTTTCTATATTTCTCTACAATTTCAACTGATCTTTGTCAAAATTCGAATTGAAAAATAAAGTATATTTTTAAATTATTTCGTTGGACTAAAAAATAATGAAAAACTTCCTTTCTGTCGGAGTCAATTTTTTTTAGCTTTTTTTTGCAGGTTTTTGTTTAAATTATGATTTTTTTAATGCTAAACTGGGAACCCTGTGCGGTAGTTACTTCACTTATGGTACTTGAAAACTCCCCAACAGCTAGTCCTGTTATTCTCATGCGTTTCCTACAACAACCATTCGCTCCCGTGCACTCCCAAGTACTCCCTAGCACWCCCTAGTACTCCCAAGCACTTCTATGCACTACTATGCACTCCCATGTACTCCCATGCACTCCCAAGAACTCTCATG